GAGATCAACTGAGAACACTGCAAAGTTAACCTGTCTAACTGCAGAAAGTGAACTCGTATAATGTTGCATTTTGGAGGTATTATTTCTCACAGCACGATTAAAGCTTTGGGTTATATTCTACATAGGAGAAAAAAAACGAAATTTTTATGCCAACGATTAGTTAGACGACATTCAAGTCTAGGAAAGACAAGAGAAACATGTAAAGTTTCTACCTTTTGTCTCCTTTGTTTCTTGCCCTTATTCACACTGGTTTTGCTCTTTGACAACTTGATAATATCATCTAAGCCAAGAAATTATAGAGATTATCAAGAACAAAACAGACAAATTGGAAACACAGAAGCTATGGGGGATGTGTCATAAACATAAATCTAACCTAAAGCCATGGCGACTTTCTTGTCGTTGAGGGCAATGATCTCAGCTACAAGTGGTGTTACATTCTCCATCTGCACTAACTAAACAAAATAAATTACCCCAAAAAAAAAACACAAATTTTATACGATACATAAGAAATTACAGAAATCAAACAAAATGCAGTTACAATTGTAGGACAGAGGTCACGAGGATCAAGAGATTGAAGTTTTCTAGGAACGAGTAACAAATCACAAACAAGACTATATAAAGTAACCCTAATTTACAAATCAATTAAACAAGAATTCGAATCAAACAAACAAAAGCTAAAACTATTTGGGGATCGTTGAGAATTGAAGAAATGCGTAAGGAAGGAGATGGAGCTTTTACCGATTACGAAGTGAAAAGCTGGAAAGAGAAAGCGAAACGAGAGACGAAGAAGACGACGGAGAGAAGGAAGCTTTTTATTAAGAGTCTTTGTGAAAACGAAGACGATGACCCGGAGAAAAACCGAGTCAACTCAGAGTCTGAGCTTTTTTATAGGAGATTTAATCTATGGAGTCGGCGGATTCCAACGATCAATTATAACAAGTCGGATTTGAAAGCCTTTCGTGGATCGCCAACGTGGTATCTAACCATTGGGTTGGTGCACGCCTTACAAGCTACGCAAAGATCGATCACATTGAATGACTCCCACTGCAGGTTCGTCACATTCAGGGTTGACTTTGGGCCAAACGAGCCAAGTTTAAACTTGCGAGATAAATATAAATAAAGACGAAAATTTTATATCCGGTGAGAATAGTGTACTGAATAATAAAATGAGAGAAATCGAGAGAGATATGTTTTCTATTATTATGTTTGTGAATGTTGTTTTACAATCGATCGAATAACCTCTTTATATAGGCGATGAAAAGTAAGTTATTGTGCATGCATAGTGACAGTGGGGTCAACTTGTAATAAAACTGCGAACAGATTCTGTGTGTGCAGCCGTTATCTTTGACTTATTATAACA